TTGGGCCTGTCAATTCTCCCCTTTTGAAGCAAGCAAAAGTGAACTCCTTTATTCACCTCCACTACGTGAATTATCGGTATGTAACTTTTTTTTTTTTTTTTGGATATTAATCTTTTTATATTTAATAATCATATTGAATCTTAATTAATTCAGAATCAAATCATATCAAATCTTATAAGAGGGAAACTCTCTCAACGTCTATTTCTCAATTCACAAAATTCTAATTCAATACCTTATTTTAAAAAAATAAAACTAATTTCATTCAAATTAATATATTGTTGATGGTATGTAACTACTTTTAATAATGTGTTATAATGTTTTAAAGTATAATTGACTGGTATTTTCTAAGTTAAGACTTTGACATGTTACAACAATTTTATGGATCTTACTTTAGTGAGCCATTGCATGGTGTTTGACAAACTACAGCATCTCATACCGTGGGCGTCGTTCCCCCCTAGTTTCTCCCTATTTTAATTATTTTTAAGGGTTATTTTTATATTTTCATACATTAATATTTTAATTAAAAAAATGTAAAATTGATATTTTTAGTACTTATTTTTCAAATTAAAAAAAATTTTCCGGCCAACTTTTTAAAAGTCAATCAAAGTAGATTCATTTGATATCTTCCCACCAACTTTCTTAATATTAATTTTTTTTATCAAATATTAAAAAATTTACAATTTAAATAAAATTTCATTATTTTTTGTAAAATATATTTTAACTACTTTTTTTAATAAAACTGACCTCTAATCAAAATGATTTTAACAGATGTACAATTCATTAAAACAAGGGAATATAGATACATTCTTGAAGGAAGCACTAAGAGAAGACACAGTAGTTACCAGAAAGTAACAAAGCACTCAGCTGGAGATTACAAATGCTAATGTTAACATCTTCTTCAACTCTACTAAAAAAACTTTTGAAGATTCTCCAATCTCACATTAGCTAGCCTTCCAAGGGAGGAAAGAGAAAGCCACCAGAGAAGATAACTTCAGGATTTTCAACTCAGTGGCACTGAAACAACATAGATTCGACCTTTACCATTTTTCTTGTTGCTTACAACAGACATCAATTTGAGAATTGCAAACCCTCTCTGCTCAGGCATTTTGCTTATCTTCCACCCTAATGACCATTTTAGCTTCTCCATTTTCACACAAAGATATAATGCCGTTTTCTTCAGAATGCCTAGACGTAGAATCCAGGACTTTGTGTCCAAGCAA